GCTTTGCGGGTGGCTGACAATATTAATTCTTGACTAGTTCTGACTAGTTCCTGACCTGGGATTATTTGCCATATTATTTTATTCATGTAGTTTCCTGAGTCAGTTTTATAACATTTTTTAAATGATATTATCAGGGTTAAACGTTTACCACTTGATGCTTTGGTCAAAATTGAGTATTAAGTGTTTATGCAGCCACAGCCAAAACCAAAACCACTGTCATCAAGTTGATTCTGGCTCATAGCGATGCTATAAGACAGAGTAGATCTGCTCCATAGGGTTTCTGAGGCTGTAATCTTTATGGAAGCAGACTGCCACATCTTTCTCCCTTGGAGCAGATGGTGGTTTTGAACTGCTGACTTTTCAAGCTGGCAGCCAAGTGCTTTAACACTTCACTACCAGGGCTTCTATTTGCAACCACAGAACTACAATATTACTTGCCTCAGTTGTTTAAGACAGAAACAAATGCAAATCATATTTTCAGTTTATGGCAGAAGGTGTTATTGTTGTTCCAGAGTCTATTAGAAAAAGATAGGAAAATGGTATAAGTCTTTTTATTTTGGCATTCTGAACCTTCCCCCCTTACACTTGTACTTCTCTCAACATTTCTTTCTCCGTGTATTTGTCTTTCAGATTATCTTTTTCTCTTTCCCTCCCTCTCAATCCCATCCCCCCATCTTTTCTCCCTCTCTCTCCCTTTTTTTGCCCCATATTCATACCCTGCTGGTTCTCTTCTCTGCCTCTCTGTTCTCTTATACAGAACATGAGAATGCTTATCATTGTATTTTTTTCAATATTATGATGTACTGCTTAGTCTTCATTAACAATGGTTGAGTGGATTGTGTGCACAACTTACCTTCTCTCCAAAAATCACACTCTTAAGTAAGTGATTACCATCAGCTGAGGTAATCCTTGAATGATATTTATTTTAGTGGCTTAATGGTTCCTGGTTTATAAAAAAAGGTTCTCTAGTCTATGGAAGTTAGGGTTCAAAGAGTTATCAAAGACTAAGAAGAAAATGAAGTGTATGAGCAAAAATGGTCAAAACTCATCTGCTTTCTCCTCACTTACCTCTTATTTTTCTCTTCTCTCGCTGATATCCAACAGCGAAAGTGTATGTTGGGGCTATTCTTTGGCTTATGGCCCAGATGTAAGGATGTGCCCTAAGAGACTGCATGAGGCTAGAAAGATCATCAAGTAAGCCCAGGATCTCTGGGCCTCATCCCCAGAACTAAGCTAGCCTTCACATATGTGTACACTGGGACATCACTTCCAAGTTTGATTACTCATCAGAATGGTTTTTGGAAAAAAAAAAAAAAAAAAGTCCCCTTAGCCCTGTTAAAGAGCCACTTGCATTTACTATTCAATATAGGTAGTTCAGGGTTATGAACATCCAATTTACTTGCAATCTGTAGTTATGAACAAACTGCTGTAAAGTCTATTGTATTAAAAATTCAAGGTACATACAATTTTTCATAATAACAAATGAGTACTACCTTGCAACATGCATAAAACATTATTACTGTATTACTATGCTAAAGATGTCAGTGTATCTGGAAGTGTTTCTTTCTCGTCTTTTATGCATAGAAAGGCACACTATATACTAAGACAAATATCTGACCAACTGACATTAGATACAAATCATATCTATTTCAATTTACATACAAATTCAATGTAAAGACAGATTTAGGTATGGGACTTATTAATAATCCAGGACTGCCTATAGCTACATATGGGATGATCTTTAGTGTACATCTCCCCACATCATCTCCAATAATCACTGTCTCCTCCAGCCACAGGGTAGGCAGGCTTGGTGCTGCCCTTCCTCCTTTATCAACAAGTCTAGACAAAATTCTTAGAAATCCATGGTACCTCACCTGCCCCTGAACCTTGGAAATCAAGATTTATCCCATGGACAAGGACCTGAACATAAAACTTAACACTATAAAGACCATCAAAGAAAAAACAGGGACAAACACAGGAGCCCTAATGGATAAACACTATCAAATGCAGCTAAAAATGAACACCAGAGGACAAAATAGATAACTGAGACCTCCTAAAAAATTAGACACTTATGCACATCAAAAATTTCACCAAAAGAGTAAAAAGAGAACCCACAGACTAGGAAAAAAATGTTGGCAACCAACATTATCAGACAAGGTGATAATCTCTAAAATTTTCAGAAAACTTCTTCACCTCAACAGTAAAAAGACAAATAATCCAATTTAAAAATGAGCAGAGGACATGAACACTTTAGCAAAGAACACATTCAAGCGGCCAACACACATGAAGAAATGTTTGTGATCATCAGCCATTAGAGAGATGCAAATCAAAACAATGAGATATCATCTCACACAATAATAGCAAAGTTCATAAAAACAGAAAACAACAAATGTTAGTGAGGGTATGGAGAGACTGGAACCCTTAGACACTACTGGTGGGACTGTAAAAGGGTGCAACCACTGAAAAATGGTAAGTCACTTCCTTAAAAAACTGGAAATAGAAATACCATGTGATCTAGCAATCCCACTACTAGGAATATATCCTAAGGAAATATGAACCGTGACATGAATAGATATATGCACAGCCATCTTCATTGCAGCACTATTCACAATAGCAAAAAGATGGAAACAACCTTAATGCCCATCAATAGACGAATGGATAAATAAATTATGGTACATACATACAATGGGATACTACGTAACTTAAAAGAACAACGATGAATCTGCAAAACATCTCTCGACATGGAGGAACCTAGTGGATATTATCAGAAGGAAGGTTTGGCAATCTACTTCCGTAGTGATAGCACCTTGGAAACCCAAGTAGGGGTCGCTTTGAGTTGGGGCCGACTCGACGGCACATAACAACAACAACAGTGGACATTATGCTTAATGAAATAAGTTGATCACAAAAGGACAAATGTTGCATAAGATTACCATTGTAAAAAGTCAAGAAAAGGTTTCCACATAAAAGAAATGTTCTTTGAAGGTTACCAGGGGTGGGAGAGAAAAGGAGGGTAAATCACTAACTAGAGGGTTGTTGTTGCTGTTGTTGTTTGCCGTCGAGTCAGCCCCGACTCATAGTGACCCCTCCTTGGGTTTCCGAGGCAGTATCACTACAGAAGTAGGATTGCCCATCTAGAGGGTAGACACATATTAATTTGGGTGAACGGAAAGGCAATATATGCTAAGGAAGAGGTCAGCATAAAATGATCAAAGTAAAAAAGACACAGGAAGAGTACAAGAGTTAAAAGTAACAGGTAAATACCAATTCACACACAATCCTGCAATCACAGTAACAGTAATCAATAATCTACGAGTGTATACATAGACACACAAACTGAAAAGGTATGGGAAGGAGAATGGGACTATACTCATGAATATGTATAGATTTGACAGAAGGTATTTCAAATATGTATTTACATATGGTGCAAATATATCCATGAATATAGGAGAGCATACAGAGGGCAAAGTTGTGAAAACTTCTTAGCCATAACCAAAAACCCTGAGGGAGTGAGTTGCTTGGCTTGGTGACTCAGCTCCTTAGTCTCAGTAACATCAAGAACAATTGTAACAACATACTCCACAAAGACAATGTTCTGAGTCCTACTTTGTTGAGTAGCAACTTGGGTTTTAAAAGCTTTCAAACAGCCATCTAAGGTGCAACTATTGATCTCCCCTAGTCAGAAGCAAAGAAAAGTGAAGAAAATCAAAGACACATGGAAACAATTAGTCCAAAGGACTAATGGACCATGCAAACATCAGCCTCCACGACCAGAAGAACTAGATGGGGCTTAGCTACCACTACTGACTGCTCTGAAAGGGACCATATTAGAAGGTCTTGGATGGAGTGGGAGAAAAATGTAGAACAAAATTCAAAATAGTAAAAATGACCAGGCTTACCAGTCAAATAGAGACTGGTAGAACCCCCCTCAAGACAATGGTCTTTGGTCACCCATTGGGACCTGGAACTGAACTTACTCCCATAGTTCAATTTTCAGTCAAACAATTGACAGGTCTACAAGGTAAACAATAACTCCATGAAGGTAGACATTCCTTAGAACAATCAACCATTAGAGATCAAAAGGGCAGCATTTGCTCAAGGACAAAGTTCAAAAGGGTTAGGAGACAAGGAAGAATGGAACCAAGAAACACAAGGAGGATGTGGTAGGAAAGATATGATGTTACATTAAGGGTATTACAATCAATGACATGAAACAAAATGTTTGAGAACTGTTGAATGGAAAATTGATTTTCTCTGTAAGCTTTCACCAAAATCACAATTTTTTTTTTTTTTTTTTTAAGTCTTATCTCATGGAAAGCCTTGTGGAGCCATTATAATAAACCCCAATTTCCATCCCCCAGTGCATGCTGTAAGACCCTGTGGTAGTTAAGGTTGTGTGTTAACTTGACTGGGCCTGGCTGAGTGGCTGGGCAGCTGGTGGTAAGTTATTCTCCATGATGAGACTGGCAATCAACTCCATGGTGGAATCTACCACAAGCAGCTGAGTAGCTGCTTTAGGGATGTGGTCTTTTTTCCATTTATAAGAAGCAGCTTTTGGAATGGCCTCTAGCTTATAGCATGCTTGGACCGTGCATGTGGCCATGTCATTGTTCAGCAGCCTGCCATGCTCTGTCAATCATGGGACTTTCAATGGACTTCAATCAATGGCCTGCCATGTGGTTTGTTAACATCAAGACTGTTTCATTTTATTTGTCGACCTTGGGCTTGTCAGCCTCGGCAGCCAGTAGCTGCCTGAATGAAGAGATGCCTCCAGCTTCAGTGGGCTGGGAGAAAGAGACAGAGCTGAAGCCCAAGGTCGAGAGGATTTCACCCAGCCCCTAGAGCCTGGCACTTGGAACTTGGACTTCTAGCCTCCAAAAATTGTAAGAGTAAACTCCTGTTTGTTAAAGGCATCCCATTTGCGGTATCTTCTGTTAGAGCGGCACAGTCCAATCACAGTCCAATCAGTTTCAGTAATTCTGGTGTGGAACAGTGTGTACCTGTTGGTTTGTTCTGTAAGCAGGCTGGGGCTCCTCATCAACGACCTCTTCTTCAGACCCTGAAAACACTATTTCTTCCTCCTTCTCCTCACTCTCTTCAGAACAGGAATCAAATGCATCAGCATAATACTCTTCAGCCTCAAGTGGGTCTTCTGGGATCTCTGAAATGGAAAATAAACAACTATCAGGTCCCAACAGTTATTAAAATTATAATGAAGTAGGACCCCCACACACAACCCCATGCTTTCCAGAGATGTGCATTTTGTTTGCACTGATAAAGCTTCCATGGAGCATAGAACTGAATTTTTGCTTCCTAAAAAGTATGTGGTTGAATGTAACTGACATTCAGCAATGAGAAATCAACAGAGGGATGCAGGGGTGACTCCACCTTTTGAAGGTGAGCAAATAAAACCAAGAAACAAGAAAACACTATTTGCTTTTAAAGTCTTTACATTTGGAGGCATGACTCCTTGCTACAAATGAGGGGACTCTGGCACAAATGAAAACAAGAAGCCCTGGCTTCAGGGTCCTATCACAGTCCAAATGACGTTTTAGCAGAAGCTGTTGTTGTGGAGCTGGGCCAGCCTTCTTCCCAGGTATTCCTTAAAAGAAAATATGGGTAGACCAGATAATATGGGTAGAATCTGTAACAGTGGTATTTTGGCAAACAGTGCAGAACTTTACAATTCTTTTCAAACAGGCTATGAAGCTTCTGAGATGGAGTTCACTCTGGTGGGTCCTACTCACTCATATTTACACACACAGTATTTATTTATTTTTTCATTTTTTAAAATACATTCACTTAAACTGATGCCAAGCAGTAGCTAACCAAGTTACCTGGTGCAATATTATTAGTAACAAAAATTAAAATTGGTACTTATAAATCTTCAAACAAGAAAGGCTAAAGACTATATCAGAAAATGCATAGCAATATCAGTTCCAATTGGTAACAGAGACCTAGAAATAGAAAAACATCCTTGGGCAGGAAGAAGAAGCCATTACATAATGATACCCAACTACAGTAAAACAGTGGGCATTTTAGCCTCTAAAATGTACCATGCTTTGACTTATAAACAAAATAATCCTTCTAAATTGTCACACACAGCACAATTTTTCATGTCACTGTTGCTATTTTCTGTCAAAAAGGCAAAACAAGCCTGTTACCATTGAGTTGATTCTGACTCATAGTAATCCTACAGGACAGAGTAGAACTGCCGCCATAGGGTTTCCAAGGTTATAAACCTTTACAGAAGTAGACTGCCACATCTTCCTGGTGGGTTCAAACTGTGAACATTCTGATTAGCAGCCCAGAGCTTAACTACTACACTATTGAGTCTCCTATTCTGTCTAGCAAAACAAAGAATATGGAATTTGGGGTCAGAAAAGTTTGAATCTAGCTCTACCTTCTCCTAGATGAGAACCTTGCCAAGAGACTTGCTTGAACAACTTCTCTTCAAAAGATCAGCCCAAGGCCTGTCCCCATGAGGCACAGGTTAAAGATGTCCCAAATGTCCAAACTACTGCGCCACTTCATCATTTCAGACATTAACTCCTCCTCATCTTCTCAGTAATCTCCCCCATCTTAGGGTTCTGTATTTCAATATAATGTCTCACAGAACTCACAGACACCCAAGGGATCATCTCACATAGTGGTGGTAGAGGCTGGCAGGCTGGCAACTCCCAGGTCTGTGAGTAGGTCTGGAGGATCCTCCCAATTCTTGGGGTTTGACGAACCTCGATCAGCAGACCAGATGACGGCTGCTGTCACATCCCGGGGTGAGATGACAATGAGCCAAAACAACCGGAGCAAGAAAAGGGTGAACCTTCCCAGGAGATTCATAGGTATACCCTCAAGGAAGCTAAAAGTGGTGATTTGAGTTATACCCTCCAGCAAGGTGGGACTCAAGATATATCCCACCTGTGCTGCTCCAACAGAAATAACCCAAGTGGATGGCTTTAACAATCAGCAGCTACTCAGTTGCTCACAACAAATCCCACCACAAAGCCGATTGCCAGTCATTATAGGATTGACGACTACCAGCTTCCCAGCCAAGCTAACACCTGACCTTAATCACCACACCACCCTAAACAGGCATGGATAATAGGATTTACAATACATCACAGAATGGAGGACAATGGCTAGAAGGGCCACATCAAGTAATTCATTGCAAGACTTATACCTCCTGAGCTCCAATTTCTCCAGTAAAACTGATATAAGGACAATCAAGCAGGGTAGCCACAAGGATTCAATAACACAATTCTTAAATAGGTGAGCTTTGTATAAATGCTCACTCAATTGCCACATCTGTAGTAATGAACTTTTCATTAGCTGACTCTAGAATCCTTTGAAAAGTATAGTTCTTAATGGATACAGAATTCCCTAATCATATGAGACTAAAATCTGTTAATCTATGGTTTCCTACTGAAACACAAGAGGCAGTACAGTGGATTCCAAGCTATTCAGCTCAAAAGACAGAAACTACATATATTAAAAACTGCCTTTATCAATTGCTTAGGAATGGGCATACTGGGGAATCTCATACCTTCTCTGGGTATCTCTAACCTTTATCTTGTTCAGCTAAGCACCAGATGAAATTTATATAGAGGCCATGTATCTATGAAAAGTGCATAATATTATTAGACTCACGTTCAGAATGGCAAGAGGGTCACTGAATGAGAAGTGTCAAAGTGTCAAAACTAAAATCCACTGAGATGACAGCAGCTCAGGACTCCACTGGGCCTTGAGAGGGGGCAAGTGCTCACTGAGTAGAATGGCAGGCAGAAGAGATGCACTACATCTGCCTCCCTGAGGGTCCCCCATCATCTTCCTCTCCCTGAATCTATCACTTTGACAGTTACTCGCTCATTCACTCATTCATCTTCTCTAGCTCTTGTTCTTCCACTATCTTGTCCTTTTTCTCTTTCTCTTCTATCCCTCCTTTCCCACCCAAGGAAAGAATATTTGCTTTCAAACTTGACTAGGACAGTAAGAAATACTGTTTGCCTTTTGCCAAGCACACAGAAGTGTATGTGTGTGCATGTACCTGTGTCTGTGTTTGTAAATAAAACAAAACGTTTCATATATCAAGACTTACTATATGTGACACACTCTGGAATTTTCCATTCCACTTAATTTAAAAAAAAAAAAAATGCTAGTTCCAACTTGCAACTGATCTCACAGCCCACAGTTTTAAAAATACGGGTTTATAATTCTGACTTTGGTAATAGAAAGACCTGCAGTAAAACCGTGACCTTGGGCACTGTTGAACCTTTCTGTACTTCAGTTTTGTCATCTGTAAAAAATGGAGAAGGTAGTACCCATCTCATAGAATTATTGTGAACATTAAATAGTTTAATGGATACAAAGTACTGTGCACATGGATGGTATGTATCCAGGAAATGTCATTTACTATTAAAAGTGGTAAGGCAAATACTCTATAGTTTTGCCTGTAATACCAATCACCAGGCAGAAATCTCAATATTATAAATTACAAAGTTTAAAATACTTCTTTAAATTTCAAATAGAATCACTTCTCAACCCAGAACCCAACTCAAATAAGGAATCATTTCTCTGGTTTCCCTCCTGTTAGATTCCACAGGGAGGGCATTTCACTACTCAGTTCTCCCCTCATTGTCCTGCTATCCACTGGTCCCACCTTGGCTCCCTTCAGGTGACTTACAGGGAGCCACTATAATAAAGGCTGGAAAACTTTTTCTGTAAAGGCCATACTAAAAATTTTAGGCCATGTGGGTTTATATGGTCTCTGTTACAACTTTGCCTATGTAGCATGACAGCACTCATAGACAATACATAAACAAATAAGTATAGTCACATTCCAGTAAAACTTTATTTACAAAAACAGGCTTTCTCTTGCTAAAATACTATACCCTCTTCCCATGACATGCCTCTTTGTATAAGGAGTCTTAGTCTCTTCCCCTCTTTTTTCCAGGATACCCTTCAAGGAAAGGCTGGAAGGAGGAAATAATAAGGAGGAAAGTTCCATCCTGCCACATGTGCTGAAGTCTTGAAATAGATTCAGCTGGATCTAGCACCAGTGTTTCTTACACAAACACCACAAGCTTAGTGCCACTCACAACAGTGCTCATTTTTCAAGGGAAAAGCCAAAAGAAATTTAAGTCTGCTCAAACTGTGTTTGCCAAGCATGTGTTTTTCATACATGGGTCCAAATTGAAGTCTTATTAGGCTAAGGCTCATTTCTCCTGTCACTGTGGAAAAAATAATCTATGATAAATAGCTTTAATTTTCTCACACCCTGAAGTGAGCCTTATGACAGATACACTGGAATGGCATTCCAGCTCTCTGTGCACCAGGCAGGCAGTGGCAGAGTGAGTTGATGACAGGACCCAATAATGGCTGGCTGGGCTTGGACTCAAACGTGCAAACCCATGCTGGAGAAGGAAAAATGCAATCACCTGTTCCAGAAAAAGGGTGGATTTTGTCTGGCCCTTCAAGTAAGACCCTACTTTGCCTTCTGAGATTTGAGTGAGCACCAGATCATCCGGAGGGCTGGGTAAAATGTAGACCACCTCCAGAGTTGCTGATGCTGATGCTGCAAGTCCAGGCACTGTACTTTGAAAACCACAGCTCTTGGATGTAGCAAGTTCAAATAGAATCACTACGATAGAATACTCTATAATATCTCAACATCTTCCAACCTTCAGAGTTAAGTACAAATAATGACAAAAGAAATAACTTCAGAAAACCTCATGTTACTGTGCCACTGGGTGTCTCAATTATGCACATAATCTCTATGGAGTTACAAGGCATTGATCTCATTTTTTGATGAGTAAGAACAAAGCTGAAAATGAGAAGCCCGAAGTCACGGTCCTTATATTTGCACACCATTTTACAGTTTTAAAAGCACATTCAGATCCATTGTTTCATCTATTACTGCAGCAACACTTCAAGACAGCCCAGAGACATTTTTATGCCCATTTTGCAGATAAGGAAAGCAAGACTCAGCTACACTAATAACCCATCAAAGGTCACACAGCTCTCACGGTGGACACAAGCCTCCTATTTCTTTTTTTCTATGAATTTGTAATATGGCACACAACAACAGTACTACTTTATGGCTGGCTAAAAATTTTAATCTTTGCTAGTAAAAACAATTCCATAGATAAAAGTCGTGATTTTCCT